GCTCTGCCTGTGCAAGACCTTCTTTTCCCAGTGATCCAGCTGGGATGAAAATCAGATCCATGGTCAGTGACTCTGCAGGCTGTGACTGACCTGAGTGCATCAGTAACCCCCAGGACCAAAACCAAGGCAGCCCTGGAGGAAGCCAGGCCCAGAACTGAGCTCAAACACTGAACTCTTGCCACAGAGGAGAAATGAACTTGGTACAAGCCTGGTTTCGAAGGGACTGCAGTAAAAGAGAGAGGAAGAGCAAAAAGTAGGAACTTGGAGTGAAACACCTGCAGAATCCTGTCCCGTCAGGAGAATCCAGCCTTTTCCTTCGAGCAGTGCCCAGCCATTCTGGCTTTCCCCAGGGATCAGCACTGCACTGCCTCCAAAGACAACTGTGCCATGCTGCTACAGCATCACCTCCTTGAGGACCACTGCAGTTATTAAAAGCCGCTTCCCTGCCCCTCTCAGCCAGCCTTGTGTTAAACCTCCCCAGGTGAATACAAGCGTGGCAGCGAAACGTGCCCGGGCTTTGCTGTAAGGCAGGGAGTGAGTTCTGAAAGGAGAAAACTCCAAGTCCTCTGCCCCTGGAACTCTCAAGGACCTGAGTGGGTGCTTGTAAGGTGCCACTGGAGCCTTTACCCCACAGTTACATTGCAGTGGGCACGCTGATGTAAAGCCCAAGGTCTGAGGAAGCAGAGCCGGGCTTTACTGAGCTAAATGAAGTCTGACACACAATCCGAACCCGCTGCATGGTGACAACCTGGCCTTTCCCAAGGATCATGAGAGTCTTACACCACGTTTACTATGAGCATTTATTAACACTGCTCCTTCTGGTAATAAGCTGTGTATTCCGAGCACGTGACAGATGCCAGTCTCGTCCCCTAAGCCCAGCTCCCCCCGCAGCACTGTACTGGGTCAGCTCTGTAACCTGCTTTCCTGCTGGAAAGCAAGACTTACAAATTAGATTCATTTCTAAATTTAGTGTTGATGGGATCAGTCATTGCTGCTCTGAGCCTTTTCAGGCAGATTTCAAGGGGAAAGGATTCCTAAAGCAACCACTACACCTTGGGTCGAGCTTACACAAGTGCCGAGCTGCCCATCTCGGTGCACTCAGTGTGTTTGGTGCCACCTTCATGGAATTAACAGGGAGCTTTTACTGAAGACCAAGACTGGGGGGGAACAATCTTCTATTGGAACAGTGCTTCCCAAAGTGCAGCTGCGCTCTGCCCGGGCCTGACACAAAACAGGGGCTGCTGACCAGGAAAGCATCAGCTGAGGAAGCCCCCAGCCTTGCTCTGGGTGCAGAACCACAGCCCCGCTCTGGTGAATCCACCTCTGCTTGTTTAAGAGCTGCAAGAAAGAAGGACAGCCCAGTTCTTATCTCCAGCCCTCTGGAGATTTGACATCCTTGGCATTGTATCCCAAGAGGAAGGAAGTTTCTCACTTCCCCAGCTATTTCAGTTATATAAATCAATTGTTGAGGGATAGTTTCACTGGGCTGCACATAGGAACCAAGGTACTTGGGCTCAGATGGTCACTGGAGATCCTCAGCTAGGAATTCAAACTGTAATGCCTGGGAATTTAGCAGGAATTCTATTGCCAAGTCAGGACCCTTTGGACCCAAGGCCCAGATATTGGCACCAAATCCCTACCATCCTCCTGTTTTCTCCAGTCTCTTTGGAACTTCCCTGGCTTCCCGCTGGGCAAGCGGGTTCCTGGCATAAAGAATTTACAAGGGATTATTGGGAAGGGGGTGGATTAGAAGATGGAGTTCTCTGGCAAAGGGAAAGCTGCTCTAGGCTGCAAAAACCAATACAAAGATGGAACAAATCCTGACAATCCCTCTGGTAGCTCCATGAGTGTGAGGCCACTGGTTTACTGCAGCAGGCAACCAAAAAAGCCACCGTGGCAGGACAGCTTGGCACTAACACCCTGATTCCCACTCCCAGCCAGGCACAGATCTGTCCCAGGCCAGGGAAGCTGAAGGGTGAACTGATGCCATGGCCCACGCAAGGATCCTGCTTACAATGGAAGTACCATCACGACACAGCAGCTCACACGTGGTGGCAGCGTGTCCATGTACCTGTTCCTAGGGAAGCTCGTAGGATACTCCACAGAGTATCCCTCACAACATGGGTCAATGGATTGGGTCAATGTGATTTATTTTATTGGGTAAAAGGATTTATTGTCCTATTCTGAAAGTAACTCAAGGCATCTCTGTATGTAACCAAGCAAGCAGGTAGGACCGCTGACCTCCAAGATGCTCTTGGATGCTCCTCAGCAGCCAGCCCTACCTGTACACACGTGGAACAGCAGCTCGATGCCCCCAGTGCTTCCTAAACCATCATCACCTTGCTCCAAAGGAAAGGGAATTTGTCAGCAGAAGGGCTATCCTTAGAGTGGGTTTTTCACCTTAGAGAAGTGCAAGACAAGGGATGGGCGCAGTCCAGAGGCTTCCAAACCAAACATTTGTAGCTCCCTGCTCCAGTTCATGGCCTCAGCAGTTACACAGCTCCAAGTGCTTGCTGCACAGCACTACCCTGCTACCAGGAGACACCTGGGGCTTCTCTCTCCTGCTCCCTCAGGAATGCTGCTGAGACTGTGGCTGTGACCCACTGAATCCAACAATTCCCTACCTGCCTTTGGGACACCAACCCAGCTTCTCTGGAGACGCAGCGGAGTCCCTAAATGCAATGAAGATTCCAAGGTGGGAAGTGCCTGATCTCCCTTTGGCCCAAGAGCTGAACTATTGAGATAAGAGACATTGTTATACCTGCCTTTTGTTTTGTGCTGCAATGAGGTTAACTTCCAGTGGCTCTGCCTCTTACAGAGACTCCTTCAAGCTGGTAACCGGGTAAACTTTGGATGAAAGCTAATTCCCGTTCTTCAAGTAGCTTTCCAATGCAAAGCCAGTGTGTTTGTGTCCTTTTTGAAACAGTTTGGTTTAATAAGCCCCCGGCTGGTTGCTTATAGACAAGTTTCTTCCTGCAAGACCCTCTGGAACTGCTCATGGTACCAGGGAATGAGGATGTTTAAAGTGAAGCCAAGTGGGAGACACGAACCAGCCGGCAGCATCTTGCCTGCCTCAGGTAGGCAGCGGGATGGGGGGACACGGGCACACAGGGGCACTGTCAGCTTGGTGTGTGCGGAGCCATCAGCCACTTTACTCCCTGGCAGATGCAGTCGCTGCTGGATCAAGACTGGGTTCATGGAAGATGTGCCATGAAACGCTTGGGGAAGCCTGAGAAAAAGAAGTCACCTGGACCATGGAGAAGTTCAACCTTGAAAGAAAACTGCCCCTTAAAAATACACTTTTTTCCCCCTTAAAACTTTGTGTTTGGTGCACTCGGGAGCACGACTTTAGCATCTCACACAAGGCACATGCAGCTTAGCTCAGATCACTGTTGGTACCACTGATGTCTGAGTTGTTCAGGAGTCATATTTAAGGGTCCTTCTCAACTGAGAGCAAAAAGAGCAGCTTTTTCTTCCCTTTTACATTGTTCTTGCTCGGAATCTGCTCCTAAACGCTGCAAAGAGTCAGAACTTGTCACGTTCGTTGCTTCTAAGTACTTAAACTGACACTATTCCTTTACCTGCACCCCTGCCACAGCACCCGCAGCCGGTGAGCATCCTCCCTGAGCCTCTCTCTAGCGTTCACCACACTTGTCACAAAGACAGGAGGGGGGAAAGTGGAAGACAGAGCATTAGGAATGAATGAGACGCTTCAGAAGCCCTCTCGATGGCTTCTGCGGAGCACGGCAGAGCTGGGGGGAGCAGACGGTGGCAGACCACAGACAGGAGAGAACTTTATTTTCAATGGAGCTTGTCTCGCGTACAAACTGAACCCCCCCCCCCTCGCTCCCAGCAGCATCGGAGCCGGCAGCGGTGCTGAGCGCGGTGGAGCCCGGCCGGGCCCGCACGCCAGGGGCACGCACACGGCTGCTCCCTGGCACCAGCCCCACGCCGCACCTCCATCTTACGTCCTGCCCTGAACCCAGCCCCGCTCCCGGGTTTTCGTCCCTGCCTCCGTCCCCCCCCCCCCCGCTTCATGCCCCGTGGCAGGACTCGCTCGGGCCGTTCCTGAAGCGGGGCGGCTCCGCTCCGGACCCCGGGTACCTCCGCCTTGCGCCCCCCCCGCGCGTCCTGTACCGGATGCCCCATCTTTAGCACCGGTTCTTCCCTCCGCTCCCCTCCCCCACGGCCCCTCCCCCCGCGGCCCCGGGACTCGCCGTGGCTCCGCTGCCACGCTCCGGTGGCGGTGCCTGCCCGGCAGCTCCCAGGATGCGCCCCCGGCTCCTCCCGGGCACCCCCCATCGCCTTCCCCTTCCTCACGCCACTTCCCCCTCCCCCCCTCCGGGGACACACGGGTGTGGGGCCGTCGGCCCCACACCCGTGTGTCCCCGGAGGGGGGGGAGGGGGCAGCCGTGCCCCACAGCCCCATTGCCCCCACACCGCCCCCCCCCTCAGCGCACCGACCCCCGGGCCCTCGCCCCGCACTCACTGTCCGCAGCCCCCTCGGAGCCGCCTCCTCCTCCTCAGCGGGGCCCGGGCCGGACTGGGGCCGTGGGGGGGAGGGGAGGCGGCTCCCTCAGGTGGCCACTGACAGGAGGAGGGAGGGAGGGAGGGAGGGGAGGGGAGGAGGGGGCTGCGCGCGCAGGGAGACCCCGCCTCGCACCTCCCCCCCCCCCCGTCCTCCCCCCCCCGCTGCCGCCCCGGCGCGGGACTCCCGGGGTGGCGCGCGCGCCACCAACCGTCACCACCTCCCCCCCCCGGGGCGCTCCTCTCCCCCCCCCCGCGGTTGCCAGGCAGATTTAGGACTAACGCGCGCGCCCTCGGGCTGGGGCGGGGTTTATTTGTAATTGAGGGGCGGCTGCGCCGCCCAATGGAAAGCTGAGTTGCTCACAGTGTTAGCCAATCACAGCCACAGCCCGCCTTCGCCCCGCCCACGGCATTAAGGGATGAAGGGAAAGAGGCGTGGCCGTCCTCTTGACTGACGCGTTGTCTGCCCAATGAGCGCGGGCGGCGCTCCGTGGGTGGGGCAACGGGAGCCAATGCGCGTCGCGGCGCAGCGGGAGGGGGCGTGTCCCGCGGCCGGGCTGGGCCGTGCGGTGCCGCTGACCCGGGCACCGCGGCGGGCAGCGCTCCCCCGCCCGGCGCCGCGCCGAGGCCGCCTGAGGTGATGCGCGGCCCGCGGGGAGGGGCCGCGGCCACCGCCGCCCTTATCCGCCCGCGCAGGCCGCGCTGGGGCCTCCGATAGGGGCCGGCCGCGGGGTCGCTGGCTCCGCGGGGCGGGGAGGAAGGGGAAGGCGAGCGGGGCCGCGCCGGGCGGGCGGGACGGGTCAGGCCGGGCGGGGGCCCGGAGCCCTTAGCGCTGTTGAGGGTCTGCCCCGTGCTCTGCATGAGCTCCATGCACCAGGTCAAGGCGATGCCCGGGATCAGAACAAAGGAACTCATCAGTGCGCTTTTCCCCTCAGGAGAGTCCCTGCCCAGCGGTGTTTGGACAAGATCCGTGTTCCGAGCCGCCAGCTCGCACCCTGCCATCGCCAACAGCCGCCTCAGCGCTGCCCGTGCAGCGTTTTCAACCACTGGCAAAGGAGCGTGTTCTTCGAAGGGAAACCCCCAGGATCTTGGTTAAAACAAGATTATAATGGAGGGTAAATAAAGCAACAGGAGCTGCGCTTTGTTTGTAATGCCGGCACCAACCTGTCGTCAGTTATTGTTCATTTACAGCGTGTTGAAGGATGAGATCTGGCTTTGTATCAGGTGCTTGTTTCAAACAAGTGAGATAATGCATGCTGGTTTCATTCACGATAAGCAAAAGTCGGTACAATTCCCACCTTCTGAGGGCAGGGAAGGCAGAAGGCACAGAGCAGAGGCAGCAAGAAGAGAGCAGCAGAAGCAGAGCTGGAATCCACATCTCATCCCTCCCTCTTCAGCACATCTGCTCCTGGAGTGGATTCAGCCTCTGGTCAGGAAAGTGCCACAAACGCAGGTTTCCACTCTAAAGCTCCACAGTTCCTGTTAACAGCTTTGTGTTCACTCTGCTTTGCAAGACTGAACCCAGGTTTTCTTGGTTTAAAGTGTTTTCCTCCACCCTTTGTAAAAGCCAGTTTTCGCTACAACGAAGGGTTAACAGCTCCCAACCTGTTGTGACTGGTTAGTGACTTCTCCCAACGCTTCTGGCTTCATTTCAGGCCATTCAAAACTTGCTGGTTCACTAATCAGGGCTCCATCCTTCTGAAAGGGTGCTTTAATTCACACAGGAGTGCGTGCACCTCAGCTTGTTTCCCTTGCTGTGGTATCGGGAGAGTTTCAGAACAGGTCTAGCACAACATGAGCTTTATTACCTAAAGGGAAAGTTACTCCCAGAAATCTCTTCATAGCTCTTTTCTTGTCCTGTTTGGCCAGGTTTTTCCTGAGGTGACATCAAGCTTTGCTATCTGCTGAGGCAGCATCCAGTGGTCCTGGCACCCACGGAAAGATGTGCTTTCTCTTTTATGTTTCAAACTAAGGGTTTATGTGGGATAAGCCCAGAGCTTGACAAAAGAGAACCTCCAGCCAGGCTGTGCTGCATACACATCTCCTCTGGTTGTGGCCCCAGATCTATTAGGCAAGTACCACCTGTACCTCTTTGCTAAAGCATCTTAAAATGTGTTTCATGTGGAGTTTTGCCATCAGGTGCATCCTCTGAGGTTCTGCTTCAGAGGAGATTCCAAAGTGAGCTCCAACAGCAGATGAACAGGGCAGGACTGAGAGAACTGTGATGATAGCATAGCTTAGGCCAAATACCAATCCCCCCCCCAGCAGGGTGAGGAGCCTGGGGCAGCAGCTGATAGAGCTGGAAATAAGTGATTTCCACCAGAAAGGAAGCTGCCATTTGGGTTCCGAGTTTTCATGTAGTGAGTAACTTGCCAGAACAGAACTGACTCAGCTTCTGTGGCGACACTCAAGGGAGGAACGCAGCAGCTCAGATGATGGGACCGGCTGCAGGTAAGTCTTCAAGTGTTTTGGTTTTGCTGAGTTTTACCTGTAGACAAGGGGCTCCAGTTTCCTTCTTCCTTTTAAATTGAAGCTCACAAAGGTAAAATGGGGATAAAGACACACAAGGCAATGTCCCATTGAAGCAGATCCCATTTGTGAATACAGTCAGCATCCTCCTTCACCACGCAGTGACAACCACCTGTCCCAGGCCAAGGAACCAACATTCCAGGTGCTTGACAGATCCACAAAATCCTTGGTGTATCCCAGGACTCTCCAGCGAGAATCATCTGGAATTCTGGTTCTTGTTGCAGCAGGAGCCCTCACCCTGAGCCCAGGTACAGCGGGATCCATCCCTGCTCCCTGTGTGCGACAGCTTCCAAGGCCAGGCTGGTTGCAGGGCTGCTTGCAGGGCGACTGAACGAATCTGTGTTCTGCAGAGCACTGGAAGAAGTAAAATTAAGCTTTATTTCAAAACTCTTCTACTCCAGAAGCAGAGAGATCCCAAAGGCCAAAGGGAACATGCTGGGTCTCTCCCAGGCCTGTGGGTACAGCTTCAGGAAGCAGCACTGGTGGAATGTGCACATCCTGCTCCTGCTGGAGAGCTACAGACACTGACCCACACGTTGTACAAGCCTGACACAACAGTGAGAGCCTCGCTGCAGGGAGCAATTAAAGACACTTGCAGGGACAGACAGTAGAGAGCACACACAAGGGCCACTACAACCCCACTTCTCCCGAGCGGTGTGTACAGCCCAAGCCACTGGCACCATTGCCCTCTCACTGCTGTATGGGATGGAAACGGGTTTACTCGGTGCCAGCTGGGGAGAGGTCAGTAATAGCCATGGTAAAATGGGACATCATTGAGCTCCTGCTGGGGGGATTTCTGGAGAAGTTGGAAAAACTGCATGAAATGAAAGCAGCAAAATAACAGGGAACAACTGTGCTCACCCCACGTGTGCACAGGCAGCACACGGAACACACTGGGCTCACCCCACGTGTGCACAGGCAGCACAGCAACCAGGCCCTAACCTTTTATCACTGTCAGCTTTAGCTCATGGGGGCTCAGGGAGGGTCTGGAGGGGATGGCAGGGGATGAAGTACATGATTGCTGTGTTCTACTGTTCAGTTCCCAGCTGCCAGACTGATGGAGGTGTCCTGTGTGCGGGGGCCTTTTGGGTGTTCACAGTGTAGGAAATGCAATACAAGAGACAACCACTTCTCCAAACTGCATTCTCTATCCATAGCCCAGATTTCACACTGTGTACACAACAGCGATCAATGCTTCTGTGGAAGTTCTTGCTAGTCATTTAAGACCAAGCACGCAGCAGAACAGGAGCTGTGAACCTCGAGCGTTACATCTGCATTCGACAGTCAGGAAGAACTCCAGTTCCCACGTCCTGGTTTTAATCTCTGCTCCATACAAAAGATACTGAAAAGCACAAACTATTAAATAATTTAATATACAAGTGTCGTTAAAAAGCACTGTACATTGTCACAAATGTACATGGAATTTTAGAGCTAGAAAATCAACGAGTTCTGTTCAAATTTACATGATCTTTGACATCCTGTGCTGGGAAGAGGACTCTGCAAGTGCTGGACTCCCCAGGGCCGCAGGCAAATGCTGTTCTGTCCAAGAGCAAAGCCCCAGTGAAGGTCCCAGGGAAACCCCAGCCTCTTCCTCCTGCCATGACAAGTTCAGCCACCACATTTAGCAAAGGTTCCTGTTCCAAACCTGAGCGTGCCCACAGCAGAGGCGAGTTCCCCTCCAGCACTTCCTTCCCTCCCCAGGACGCAGCAGGGATTCCAACTACAAAGAGCCACAGAATTCCCACTGCAAACTGCTCTCCCACAGCACGACCTTCAGCTCTGCAGGGCCCTGAGCAGCAGGATGGGGTGAGGAGCTGCAGGACAAGGCTGGGGGCAGCTCACTGCAAGCTCAAGCCCCAGCTCTCTCGAGATGGAAGGTTTTCCATGGTGCCTTAGAGATGCAGAACCTTTCTGCCCAACGATGTGGAAGCAGTGAACAGCCTCAGCCTAGCTGACAACAGCCACAGGAAGAGAGCACTTGGATCACCTGAGCAGGCCTTGAGCTGAGTTTAAAGCACATCCTTTTCTGTCACTCGTCATTGCCCAGCACTGCCAAGAAAACAGCATTTAGAGGCTTAAAACCAGTTCTTGCAACTCAGTGACTTAAGGAGGGAAGAGCCAAAGAGTTTCCATACACACAAAGAAAGCGGAAAGACTTAAAGACATCCATAGCATCAATACCCCCAGGTAGGATTTACCTGGTCATTCCTGTCCAAACTCCAAGCCCGTGGCAGCAGCTGAGCTTATGGGGCTGTTCTGTCACTAACAGAGGCAGGGACGAACAAGCAGAGTGAGCCAGGGCCACACAACATCACCATTGAGATGGGTTCCCTAACCCTAACCCTAACCCAGTGCTGCAAAGCCAGCAGATCCCATGGGAATTGTGGCTGTCAGCTCCATGACTCAGAGCCATGGAGGGGACAGGAGAGCAGCTGGCACAGAACTGGAGCTCAAGGAGCAAGGATGCAGGACAGGATCCAACTGAGGGTTCTCTCTGTACCTGGTACCTCCAAACCCCATGTGCTGCCACGTCGCGCATTTCCTTCCTATGCTTAACTTCTAAACACTTGGAACAACACTGAAGGTTCTTCCTGCAGACCCAGTAACAGGACTCTCTCCCTACACCAGCACCGAGGTTTTCCCTGATGCAGACTTAACAAGGCCTAAAACGTGCACATCTTATGCAAGAGTAAATGGCTGAGAACAGCAGAGGAAACCTAAAATCCCCTATTTTGGCAACCGGACAAGCACTTATCCCCTTAATATCATTCACTGGTAAAAAGTGATGGGTTTGAATGACAAAAAGCAAGTCTCTGAGACAGGAGACAAGACTCTGAACAATGAACGACCACTGAGCTTGGACTTCATCTTTAAGGTCCATTCCAACCCAAATGCTTCTATGATTCACAGTAGTACTGCTACAGTAAAACTTGTAAAGGTTTCAGGGGGTCAAATGCTTCCTCTCATCAAACATTCTCCTCCTCCCTCAGAGGAAAAAGCCCTACAGAAAGGATTTTTCTGGCACATTCCTTTTCCCTTCCCCTTTGAAGCTGGGAGACAAATATGAAGAGCTACCAAGAGAGAAAAACACCTTTATTCGACCCTAGGAACCTCACGAACTTTACATGGCACTACGACACCTGGCCCAGGTCCCTGCTATGAAGCTGCTGCTGCTTCATGGAATAACAACTCTCCTCCTGGTTTCTGCAGCACAAACTTGGGCCTCGTCTCTCCTGTCCTGAGACAGCAGCAGGAGCGCAGGAAAACAGAGTGAGAACTGACAGAGAACAGCAAAGCAAACACTAAAGAGTTTGGAAACAGGAAGCTTTTGCCAAGGGCAAGCCTGCAGTTTCACCACACGCCTCTGGCTTATGCTGGAGCTGGGGTTTCACCACTGCTTTAACTCTGTACAAGTCATTAAGGCACAGATGCTGCCTTCCCTTGGCGAGGCTGTGCTGAAGGTGCAAACCACTGCTTCCCAACTGCTTGGCCAACACAGGGAGCAGCCAGGAGGCCAAGAACTTGCCTCCTTCCATCCACACCATGGCAAAGAGATGGAGAGAGCTGTGGTTCTGCCTTCCCCCATGCAGGAGTCATGGCAGTGCAGGGAGATCCAAGGCAGACCATCACAGGGATGAAGTGGTGGCACACTGTCACACACTCAGAATGTAGAACCTGCTCCTCTGACACCAACATAGGGCCGGAGGCCATCCTGAGGACACCAACACCCCCAAAACTGCAAACAGCATCAGAGCTCAGAGCTCCCCATCCCATTCTTACCTTCACTGCGAGGCTACCACCAGCACTGGCAACGACTTGCACCCAGTGAGAAGAATATTACCCTCAGAAACTAAATGCAGATCTTTAGTGCACTCTACAATCAACTCACGATTTAACCCAGTTCTTCCCAGGAGTGGAAGGGTGCAGATTCCTGCATCATACTCCAGGGAAGGTTTTCTATTTAGGCTACAAGTGGTATTAAAACTGAGTCCTCTTCATTTCCTGTGACGGCTTTTAAAAGTTAAGATATCTAAGAACTTAAGGAACAAGTGTCCTTGGGACTAAATCTTATTTCTCAGTAAGAGGAAAGCAGATTAAAACCAGTAGGTATATACACACTAGCTGTATATTCACACACATTATGTAAAAGCAGCTTAAAATGCCCTTCTCACTTTGCAAGTCTATGAAATGTACTTTGTTGTCTTTATGCAATCTGGTTCCTACAAGGCCCTCACTAGAAGAGGAATTTGCTGCCTTTTCTTTGAAGAAAAGATTTTGCATCAATTTTTGCTCTTTTTTTTTTTTTTTTGGCATTTCTTGGTGGCTTTTCCTTTGCTTTTTAAACACATTGTCCTGGTGTCAGTTACTGTGTTTCACAGGAGACTGGCCAGGCTGGTGGTGGGTCCGTTCTGGGCCTGGAACTGTACAGGAGGTGGTCCATCTGTCCACTGCAAGACAACAAAGAGCATGAAAATCCTACAGCCACTGCCTGGGGAGGGAGCAGGCCAGGCCAGAGCCCTCCACTGCCTGCAGGTAATGAGAGACTTCAGCTGGAGAAGCTGATGATCAGGTTTGACTTTGTTTTTAGAGCTCCCATCCCAGAGTGTTTCTTTGGGAGCCACTCCACATGCCCCTCATTCCAAACCTCCCATGCTGAATCCAGGGCCAGAGGTGATGGAGTGAAAGCATTTCCTGCTCTTACAGGTAGAGATGACTCGTGCCCGTAAGAAGCACCCTCATTCCTACATATCTCAGGGTCCCTCTGCAGGCAAAGCCGACATGCAGCATCTTCCTACTGGCCTTTCCACCCGCTTTCTTCTCCCCAGAAGACACCAACTTCCTCCCATCTCTCATAACTGGACATGATTTCAGTTCATACCAGTAAACTGCCTTATGCCATTGCCCAGTTGGAAACCATTCTGTATTTTAAAACCAGTGTTACAGACGTTTCTGTCAGGAAGGAATTCAATAGTTGAAATGCAAAGAATCCTTAAGGCAGTGGCTTTGCAGACATCTCATGGTGTTAACTGGAAATCCAGATTTAGAGAGAACTCGAAAAAGCCAAAACCCCGACTCAGAATGCTGAAGTAGCAGCAGGAAGTGTACTTTCAGCAGCACACAACAAAGCATTCCCCAGCACAGAGTGGATCACCTGAACACCAAACCTAAACCTGAGAACACACTAAGTGCCTTTCAGAAGCAGTAGCTGTCACCAAAATGAAGTGGCTACCTGCTACAAAAGGCATTAAAAACCATATATACAAGTCCTGGTGTATCAAGGAAACACTAGTAAGAAACAAAGACTTTCCCCACCAAATACCTTTATAACAATGCCCTAACTGCGCCACACTTCCTCTTTCTGTTCTCACTCCTCTTGAAGAACTAGGAAGCAGGCTGAATTTTGGCAATTCAGAAGCATGCTCCGCAGGGGAAAGGGACAGGAAAAGCAAGCAAAGGGGGTTGTTCTGCCTCCAGACTGCTCCCAGCTACCAGAGGAAGCTTGCTTACCGTGATGAGGTTGTGCTCAGGAAGGCTGCATGCCTCAATGTGGTCCTGCAGGAGCTGCTGGGAGAAGTTCTGGTGCATCTGTGCTGCCTCATGGGCATCCATGGCATTCCCACAGGCCTTGTTCAGGTCTGGAAGACAGGAGCAGCGTGTTTTTACCTCGAAACACCCGCCTCCAACTGGCCTCCTCTGGTCAGAGGAGGCTCTTCGCTCTCGTTGATGATTCAATCATATCCTCAAGTCAGATCAGATGAAAACCTCCACGGGAAGCAGAGGAACCTGGAGCCTGCCTTTTTTGATGCTATTTTAGCTTCCAACTATTAAATAATATCATTTGAGGAGCTCCAGAAGGAGGCAGCAAACTCCTCACCCCAATAAAAACCCAAGCGCAGCTCGCATTTGGCTGTTTAGCTTCCAGCCCCATCTAGCGGGGACGGGACAGACTCGCAGCTTTCCCTCTGCAGCTCCACTTCTTTTCCATGCAAATCCTCGCCTTCAGGGAACCGCAGCACCCTCCTGGCTCTGCACACACCGAAAGCTGCTCCTCGTGTCTTGTTCTCTGGGAGGTTTACTCACAGCGATCAGCTCAACCAGGTTTCAGACTGGGAACCTACTAAGGATCAGGCATGTGTTAGGTATCAATGATGAGCAGCACAGCGTGGCTAGGGCTGAGCTGCTGCACTTCCTACGGATGGAAGTGTGGTTGTGTCCTGTTACTCCTCATTAGGCACCTTTTCTTCAAGAGAAGGTAGTTCCAGAGAGGAAGATCTTTGGAAATACCAAAGCAGAAACTGCCTCTCGTTGCTCCCAGGCTACGGATACACCCAGAGGTCCACAGGGTGAGGTTTCAGCCACAGCAGGTTCAAACTGGGCTCTTGGCATGTTTTGTAGAACTACCACTTGGACATGAGTAAGAAAAGTCCTTTCAATTGCCTGGAAGCAGTGTTGTAGCAAAGGAAAGAGCAAAGCAGCAAATAAGCCCTGCCCACAGTGCTCAGAACAGAGCAGGGTGAACGTAGCAGTTTAATACACATTGAAGCTGTGGGCTAGAGTTGCTGCTGTATTTTGTACTGAGAGCAAATCACTTGCAGCATTAATGCTGACAGTCTGCCAAGACACTGGTCAATATTTGAACAAAGCATCCTGGGGCCAGCCTGGATCACAGGAAACAATATTTACATATGAAGTATAGAACCATGGAACTGTTTAGGTTGGAGAAGACCTTTAAGCTCATTGAGTCCAACCATTGTAACAGTCCCTGTTGTTGAATCAAGCTCATAAACAGAAGCAAAGCCTAAGCAAAACCTTTATTCCACCTGGAACTGCAATGAAAAGCAGAGCAGCACCAGTGCCAATGAAGCCCCTTCTCAAGGGACACCCATTCAGGTTTTAGCATCACAAACTGCCATCAAGTGACAGCACGAGAAACCCAGCTGCTGCCAGCATGGGGACACTGGAGCCTTCTCACCCTTGGGTTCCTCCAGCCCCCCAAATCCCCCCAGTATTGACAGCATTGCCAGAGGCACAGAGCAGGGCTGCAGCAGCACTCACTAAGGTGCTGGCAGCACCACAACCCCCAGCCCCAGGCTCTTTGCTGCTCTTCTGGAGTTCAAACCTTCTCCCACCTTACCTCTCAGCAGAGCTGAGGACCAGAGCTGCACAGACATGTCTGGGATCTTGCTGGCAAGCTGCATGGCTGGCACCACCATGTTGTTGCTTTCCTAGGGAAGAGCAGACAGCAAAGTGAAAGGGATAGGAATGATTTGTGTCCCCTCTTGCAAACAGACATGGCCTGGAGATGTTCCATTTGTGACAAAATGTGTGTACTTCAACCACTGCCATGTAACTAACAAGGGAGAGTGCTGAAGGGGACAATAACCCGAACACACTGTATCTAAAGGTGCCTGGAATTCTGCTCTGGCCTAGGCATTGTGCGAGGTAACAGAAACACTTCATACATTCTATGGGGAGAATTAAGAAGCTTGTTCCCAACAATTCCCTCCCAAGCAATCCAGCTGAACCACGGTATTCATCCTTTACTCAGCTCTTTTATTCAAGTGATTTCAGGCATTATAGAAACACACATTTGTAGAAAACCTTTAACTCTGTGCAAGTGTTATTAACCACAGAGCTCTGGAATCATGTACCTCAACAAGCTGCCAACTGTTGGTGGGGCATCACCAAACAAGCATCCTTAAAATAACACTCATTTCACAACAGGTCCTGCTGAGAAGCGACAAGTGGAACGTTAACATGGCAATAGCAGAGACTTACCCTGTGATTCCCCAACACATAGAATATGTGGCCCAGGAGCACGAGGGAACACGCTGTCAGTCGGTTCAGGTCTTCTGCATTTGACATTTTCAATGTCTCTCGCAAGAATCGCCTTAAGCCAGAGCAAAAAGGGAAGTTCAGAGCCTCTCCTTTCCCTCCAGTCTCTAAGAAGCTTTATTAAGAACTAAATGAATCCAATTGGCAAATATTAGCACTCAGGACTAACTGTGTGCTGCAGGTGACCTTAAACAAAGGGCTTCATTCCCAAACCTCACCTTTTATCTAGCAAAACTAAGTGGTAACAGAGTCCTCCTTTGGAAAGCTTTGCTCTGTGCTGCTGCAGAGGGAGCACGAGAGAGATCTAAATCCAAGAGCTCCCTGAAGCTTTCCTCCCAGCTAAAACAGAAGGTGCCCAAACCCCCAGGGAGAAAGAGCTGCACGCTTGCAAGGGAGGCCTCAAGGGGTTTAGTTTGATCTTAACCAGCTGGATTTCGTGTCTCCCTTTTGCTCTCCCACCCTTTCATACTCACTTTGCCTCATTGTATCTTCCTTGGAAGAAGGAGAAGAGACCTCGGATGTAGAAAGCTGCTGCTCGAAGACAGTGAGAGCTACGGATAAAGCAAGGTGTCGGAATCCAGGTGCTGCAGGGGGGTCAATGCAGCACACACCAGATTCCTTGGAATTGCCCAGTAATCCAACCTCCAAATAAAAGATTGCGTTTAGCACATGGGCAGAGCTTCTGCCTTCAAAAGAAGTTCATGATTTTGTTTTCTTTTCAAACAGCCTATTACAAATCCAGTATTAGCATCACCAACACAACAGCAGCATGGAGAGCTTCTGGAATTCTCACCTCACAGGAAAATTATGGTCTGGATTTATCCTTTCCAATAAGCTGTAAAGCTGCAAAGTGGGAAGGAGAATAAAAGGATGATCAGCATTTCTCAGATAGCCAAGCTGAGATACCACAAACACACTCAAGGTTCACTTGCACTGCCTTGGTCATAGCACAGACATACCAATATTAAGAGTTTTCACACCCAGTCTGATCCTAAAAGCAAGTTTTATACAAAATAGGCTTTCCCTGACTTTATAGAACTCTCTAGACAATGTTAGAATTTCCTCAGGAAACTTGTACCTGTCAGAGCTGAGCTGTTCAAGAGCCCCACGAACGCTTCATCAGGTTTGCTCTTGAATTTAAACCAGAAATCAACTAAGAAACTCAGAGTATTTCATTCTTAGCTTTGCTCCCTAAGGGGTTCTGTGTGTTTGGTGAAGAATCAAAGCATCATTCACAGCCTCTTCACAAGAAACATGCAAGTGTGTCTCTGAGAACTGCTGAGGGATGAGGCAGCTGGAGCACGGTGTTACTGCGGCTGCAGGCACAGCACTGAAGCACCACAGCACATTCCTGTTCCTGGCTGTTTGTTCAGCCTTGCTGGGGTTTGTGTCATCTCATAAACCCCCTGCACAGATGGAAGCTGAAGCAAAGAGGCTGAATGAGGCAAGGGGAGTCCCTGAAGCAGGAGCTGCCTGGCTGGACAAGGCACTGCTCTGCAATGTGCTCAGAGGAAAAGCTAATCCCAGCAGAGCAGCAGCAACCTCCATGGAAGTGCTGGTGTTTAGAACAGGAGTCAGGAAGCAGCTCACCTCTTGGTGCCGGTTGCCTTCCCTGATGTACACACTGGCTAAGTTGGTCACAATAAATGCCCACAGTTCTTGATGTGTAGTGAGCTAAAATGAACAAGATACCAACAGCACAGTTAAAGCCTTCAGCATCTCACTCAGAATTTACTCACCCATCTAAAACACAGGTTTGGTGGCTGATATTTTGAGCTGAATTTCTATTTGCACAGAAAAAAACCCCAAACTAATGCAGCTGAGACAGTCTCCAGGTTTCCCTTCCAGCCTCAACTGCTCAGTGACCCCCCCGATTGCAGCATCCCTAAGGAAATCATTTGGGAAGAACATCTTACCCTCAGTGCTGTAGTAAACTGTGCTTCTGCGTTGTCCATGCAGTTCACAGAGATGCAGTAGAGCCCCTGCAGAAGACACGGTGTTTCTAAGGTAACACAAGAATGCAAAAAGGAAAGGCCCCCACAAAGAAACAGAAACCCCAGGGGTTAACAGGAATAAAGGTAACCAACGGGTCTTAGTTTTGTCTGGATCTGGGAAAAAATACACAAAGTCCTTCAAACTGGCGTATTCTTGTAACCTTCCCCCCTCCATTTAGCCAAGAAACCCCCCATTTCCTGTAATACTCAAACATAAGTTCTCCCCCTTACACAGTTCCCACAGCATACCGTCTCATATGTGCACAGTATAGCCCTCGTGTATTCACCTTCTATGCTTACTATCATGCTACACATCACTCAGTTAAAGAAGGGATTTAAGCCTTTGATAGGCTTCAACAACTCAGCTGTCAGTCCCCAAAGCAGGACTGGCCAAGGCAGCCCCACTGCTCAGCAGGAGCTCTCAAGGGCTGCATCACCACGGGCTCAGTTCCTGGTCAGGAGTCTTGGGTAGGGTCTTCAGAGAGTCAAGAGTTTACCACTGCTCACAGGCACTCACCAAGAGGGTGTGCAGCTGGGCAGCGTGGTTGGAGAACAGCCTGGGCGACTGCTGGCAGAGCTGGCACACTTGGGAAATCTGGTAGCAGAAAAAGAAGTATTTAAGATACTTTTCTTTATCCCATTTGATGTCCCAAATCCATCTGCTTGTGTCACAGGATGTGGCAGGGATCAGTTCAAGACTTCGGTCATGCTCCTGGGCCCAGGCACATGCTGCTCCACTCGTGTTCCACCAGATTCTTTGCTTTGCAGCAGCTCCACCATACGGTGGCTCCACTTGCAAAGCCAGGCACAGATCTCTGCTGCCATGCTGGGAATGGGAGTTGGAACACAACAGGAATAAAGGTCTTTCATAGGGTAGGAGCTTCATGAGCCAGAACCAACGACTATTCTTTTAGCAGATGAATTTCCCCCACTCTGCAAGTGCACTCAAGAGGGAGCTGACACAGAGACTGAGGTGATCCAGCAGCATGTCCTCAAAGTAAGGGATGCATAACCAGGATTTTACAATCCCAGCAAAGCAGCACAGTTCCATCTAGCATTAAAGAACACTCTTCCTTCCCCCACACTATGCGAGAGGAGGAAAGGAACAGAAAGGCAGGGAACCTTCAAAGCTCAGAAATACTTGGAAAGAACAGGAGCACAAAGAGCTAAGGGAAAAGATACCAGAGTCAGACTGCAAGGTACGATCAGGAAGCTGGAGGCACCCACCACTGTTGACTCCATAAGCAACTCCAAATGCTCTTAAAGGGGTTATTTAAGAGGAGCCTAATTCCATGGCTTCAGAGTCACAAAAGCCAGAGCATCGTCATGCCTGAAAGTACCTGTCAGTTTAACACTGCTGGAATCCCCGTCTGAGCCCAAGTATCCTCCTCAACACCGAAATTCCCATGGTTTACAAGCTATCACAGCTTCTATCCACAACCAGGGCAAGGCTGACACCCCTTTACCTCCTGCAGTGCTGTGGCTTTGTGTCCCGTGACAAGCCGACACATGATGATGTGTTCCAACAAGATCACTTGGAATGATGACAAGATAGGACTGCAGTCCAACACTGGAAAGGGAACAAAAGGAACTCAGTAAGTGAAATTAAGACAATAGTAACACCTTGTCCAACACCTACAGCAATAAGCCCCCCCAACTTGATTTCTGTAGCCAAAGTAACCACCCAGTTATAAACCAGAGTGAAGTTCTTTGATGGAGCAGACACAGACTGACAGTGCTGTCCCAGAGGGCTAAATAAAGTTGCTGTGATCTTGTTTTAATTTAAATTAGCAACAAGAAATGGAATCTTGCAGAATTATAACCCTTATCCTTACTTTTTAGCTTCTCTAGCTGCATGAGTGCTTTGTCCGTGTACTTCTGAGCCTTCTCCAGGTACCCTGCTTGCATGGAATGCATCACTGTCACCTGCCAGAAAACACAGGAGAGGTTACCAGGAATGATCTTTGCAAAGGTCTGGGAAGTTCCCACAAGTCCTCAGCCACCAGCTGTTTAAACTCACTTAAAAGTGACACATTTCAGCTTATAATCACACCCAAGAAGCAGCAGGACTAGTTACAGGAATCTGAAGTCAAGATTGCCACTGTGGTGGTAAAAATAAGCCAAAACAGCTCCACCTCATCCAAATCAATAACCTGATTCTATGATTTGGATTTGAACAAAGGTCCGTTTCAATTGCCAGGCTTCTCACACAGTGTCTTCAAGCACTGAGAGCGACAGTCTCTGAGATACCGTGGCAAAATCAAACTGCCAGTGGAACATACAGCAGTGCATGGTCTGGACCTTACACTGGCTCCAAGCAATCCCAAACCAATCCCTCATTACTGATAACATACATTAACTAAGGAAAATGCTCCTCACCAAGTAGACCAGCACACACATGTGCTCTTTGGGCAGCCAGTGAAAGAGGTCAGCAGGGTTGCTGGGTAGGATCTCATCGTCGTGCAGTGTGGAGATGGTCTGGATGCACTGCTGCAGCTGCTTCAGGCACGGCTTCACACTCTTCACCTGCAGGACAGGAGCCACATCACGGGTACCTGCTGCAGCCCCCAGGTTTCAGAGCTTCCTTGCTTGGGAAAACTTGCCAGGCAATAAATAACCCCCAAATTCAGGAAATGAGACCATGCATAAGTCACACCAGTGCCTACTTCCAGGATTAACAAGCAGCATAGAATCGTAGAATAGTTTGGGTTGGAAAGAACCTTAAGATCATCTAGTTCCAACCCCCTGCCATGGGGAGGGACACCTCATCCTAGACCATGTCACCCAAATCAGCCCTTCATATTTGCCCATCAACCCACAGACACTCAAAAAGTCCTTCAAATTCAGACACAAAGGCTGTTATCTCCACCAACATCCCATGGAAGTGAAAGCAGCCATCGTGGCTCTAAGTGGATCACAGTACTTTTCCTCCAGGAAGAAGAAAAGAATGCCATTGCTTTCCTCCTCATTCCATCCCCCCAAACCAGCTCAGTTACTCCTGGGGCAGTATTTGTGCCCTAGTTTTCCCAATGGAACTGGAAGAAGCACAACTCCCAGGTACCTGCCCAGCGTCCAGGTAATGTGTGACCTGTAGCACTAGGAAGAAGACCCGTAATGACTCTTTCTGTATGGGGTTTCCTTGCCAGTTTTCAACTATCTGTCCACAAAGGGTAAGGAGAGGGTGCACCTCCTGCAGCTTCCGTTCCATTAGAAGGAGCTGTAAAATTGAACAGGAAAAAAGAAATCATTCTTTTTGTGCTAAATGGCTTAAACACTTGAAGAACCACAGCAGAGCCCTGGGTGCATCGGTCTCCTGAAGACAAAACCAGACTCAAAGCCATCTTGTTGCAACAGCACCAGCCTTTTCACATGGCCAGCTCCCTTCACCTCGAATTACAAGGGCTCCAGGGACCAGCTGCAGTTGTTCTTTCTCCCTGCAGAAAAGTCTTTGTCATCACGAAGGAGAAAAGCAAATAAAAGACAAAGCTATTCACAAGAACCTCCCCAGAATCCCGCAAACTTCAGGCTTATCCCAGAGGTATTTTAATACTGGGCTTGCTCACATGGACAAAACAGAATAGCTAAAGCACATATAAGCATGCAAATACCTTAAAACAAATGGTCTCTCACCATTCTGTAGCTCTGTGCATTAGGTGAGTTAAATAAGTAAATAGTCCATCCAACTTACCATGCCCTTGCTTAGCAGGAACAGTGCTCTGAAATGAAACGGAACATCAAACTCAATAGAAACAGTTCCTCAAACCACAACTGTCCATAGAAAGCCTGAGGAAAACCCCAGAAATCTGCCATTCTCCCCCTCAGATGCAACGGACAAAAGAGCATTGAGGAACCTGCCCCAGAAAGCAGGTTCAAAAGCAAGATGGAACAGTTCGATCACAGCCAGTACCCCCCTCCCCAAGTAATCACATCTCTGAATAAAACCTCAATATCTCCACATTAAAAAACAGAAAGCACAAACCCCTGGAGCTCACCTGGTGTACTCGGAGCCCACCACCCGGGCGTACTCTGCTCCCACGCCGAGGAGGTCACACGCAGATACTAAGTCTTTTTCAAGTGTGTGTAGTTGCTGAAATGAAGAAAGGCCATAAGGGACCAGCATGCTCCTTGGAACCCCATGAGCAATGGCTACAAATGTAGCTCCTCCTGTGCTTTACACCCAAGGGGCACTGAACTGCTACTTTGTGAATGTATGATCTGATCTTAGGGGCCTTTTCCAGGAACACCTGGTAGTCTCCAAAAGGAAAAGGCTGTAACATAGAATCATGGAATCAACCAGGCTGGAAAAGAACTTTTAAGGTCATCAAGTACAACCATTACCCCAGGCCAAAGAAAATGCCTCAGCCCCGTTTCATACCACACAGAGCTGTTGTAATTCATTATAATCATGTGCAGGTCAGAGCCAAAGAGCTCCAACACAACTGGGGACTGTTCCACTGGAACAACGGAGGGTGTTTTCCAGCAGGAAGAAGAGCAGAGAAAGGCTGAGGGTGAGGCTGATGCCACAGCACCTCCCACCCCTCCTGCCTGCCAACTTCTTTCCTTGCTCCAAACTCGGGTAGGAGCCACAGGGCTGTGCAAGAGGCACCAAGGCCTCTGCGGTCAAGCAAAGGCCTGAGAGGAAACAGCACCCAGAATATAGCAAAGAACGTGAAGCCTCAAGGAAGGACCCTCTCTTGGAGGAAGGTACTGAGAAAACCACTTGAGCTTCCTCTGAGTACCCAGACAAAGCAAGCATTTGTCCTTTAATCAATAGGAAAAAGACAGGATTCACTGTTCCTAAGCTATACAAAGGAGCTTGGCAATTCATTTTCAGACTTGGCCTGCTTAAGCTCCTCAGGAAGGGGGAAAAGCCAAGTCCAGGTGACTACTAAGACAGTCTTCAAAGATCAGATCGGTTCCTAACCCACCCTCCACTGGAAAGAGCAGTTAACCCCCTCAACTGCTGTGTTAAACACCTTGAGGCTCCTTAGGAGCAGAGAAGAGGCATAACCTGGAAAAACAGGGCTTGTTCTTCAGGAGTCATCTGCTGTTCCTGCTGCTCAGTTAACTCAGGATGTGCTTCCCACCCAGAGCACTGAAGCACTTGGGAAAAGCAGCACTTTGAAGAGCAGTTGCACAGCTGAGGACTGGAAGAAGCATTAAACCCCCCAAATCCCAACAGGCGCCAGTTTGCTCCTACAGGTGAAGACAGTCCAACCTGTGCAGCTGAAGCCACGCTCAGAGCACGTTACAGAACAGGAAGAGTAACATTGCTCAGAGGCCTCTGCACCAGCTGCTCTCCTCATCCCATCCCTGCCCACTAATTACCTTGAACATAATCAAACGCACACTCCAGGTTGGCAAACTCCAATTCCAACAGGTTTTAAGGGAACATTTGTCCTTCCTGCAAGCCATAAGGTGGATTTGATTTTGCTCCACCTCCAAACCCCTGTGTTCTAGTGCCCACGGGGTGATCCTTGCTGCCTTCTCCCCTCATCTGCCTTCAGCAAGTAAAAAGTGACCTAGATCCAATCTGGAGCCCACTAATATGTCATTTTTCTGTCTCTCCTAGCAACAGGGAGGTGCTGAGGGCATCCAAGCTCTTTTTAAGGGGAATATGGCTATTTCCTAGCCCTTTTTCCCCAGTCCCAGTGCTACAGTAACAGCTCCATCACTCTACACCACTTACTGCAAGCTGAAAAAGCAATCTGCAGTGCCAGTATGGGGTCTGCTGGGAGATCTGGATGGCTTTCCTCAACAGAGGTTTTGCTGTATCCACTGAATTCTGAAACAGAAACACAACACCCCCCAGTCAACACAAACCCAGGCTGCTGGGAATGTCCTCACTGACAACAGCAACTTCCCAACTCGTTGCATTCTGTGCTGATCCTTAAGATGTGAAAAGGAAGAAAGCCCACGTATGTAAGATGCATTTACACTGGCCCCAAAGCATGTTCAAAGGACTTCTCTATTTAACAGCTCCGGCCATTATTCTGACCTGGGCTTTCTCCCTGCATGGGAGAGCAAAGGCAAACACTTGCTTTAATGGAAGTAAAGACACATAAAAGCTTTTCCAGAGAAAAAAAGTATAAAAATAGCCTGAGAACACAGCAAAAGCCTGAGAAAACCGTTTACCTTCCCCCTCCCCAAAGGAGCCTTTGTCTAAATAAGGGCTAAAGAAACCCTCTGCCCAAGGAAACTTCCTCTGCGGTGCAGTGCAATTCCAGCAGCAACTTTCACAATCAGAAAGACCACAGCTTCAGCTTCAGGTTCACACTTTGGGGCTCAAGTCTGTTCCCCATAGCTGAGTAAACCCTACTACTACCAGCAACACGCTAACTCCGAGCCCAAAGACAGCTTCGACAACGGCCCTGCAGGCCCAGGACAGCCGAGAGCACCACTCACCTCCTGACAGTAGAGCTCGGACAGAAGGCTGGCTGCCTCAAACTTAACATCTTCAAACTGCGGGATCTGGCAGTGGCAGAGTTAAGTGAATATGAAACACAGCCTGGAAAACACCACCAGCCCAACGGCCACAACAACCCCGCAGCTGAATGCATGCGTGAGGAAGGCAGCACCCGGCTGGGAAGGAGGTGAAACCAGCAGCCGGCTCCCCATGCCGAGGGCCAGGCACTGGGGTGATGCGGGCTGCTGCAGGGAGAGCGGCCAGGAAAAGGATACCTGCTGCGATATCAACCACTGCAAGAGAAGACAGCGGGTTAGTCTGCACCCCCCGCGGGCCGGCCCCGCTGACAGGGCCCCTCCGCGGCCGCCCCCCCGGCCCCGGGCTCACCGCCTTCTCCAGGTGCCCGCGGGCCTGGTCGCCGTTGCGGGTGTGGTGGTAGAGGACAGAGCCGAGCTGGAGGTGGGTGCGGGCCTCCATGCGGGCGGGGGGCTTGCGGGGCAGCACGGCCTGCAGGCAGTGCACGCACAGCCGCACCTTGGGGGGGCTGGACGTGCGGAAGTGTTCGGCCAGGCCCAGCAGCGCCAGGTACCACGACTCGCCGCCGGCCGCGCCGCCGCCGCCCGACCCCGAACCCGGTGCGGGCCCAGCACCGCCGGCGCCGCCGCCGCCACTACCTCCGCCTCCTCCTCCTCCGGCGGCCCCCCCACCGCCACCTCCGCCGCCGCCCGCCTCCCCGGAGCCCGCCGCGCCTCCTGCCGCTGGCTGCGGCTGCTGCTGAGGCGGCGGCTGCTGCTGAGGGGCCGCCGCGCCCGCCGCCACCGCCGCCATCTCAGGGCCGCCGCGACAACACGGGCGGGAGGGGAGGGGCGGGGGTGAAGAGCGGTGCGCGGGGGCCGCTGGGACATGGAGTCCGCCCCGCCGGGAAATGGCGTAGCGCGCAAAGCCTCATGGGAGTTGTAGTCAGACCCGCGGCGTCAGAGAGTCGCTGGGACGGATGCGGGACTACATCTCCCAGAGGCCTCTGCGGCAGAGTAGCGTAGCACCGCCAGCCCCGCCTGCCGCGGTGCATTATGGGACGGGAGCTCCAAAATGGACAACCCGAAGGATGCGCCAGGTACGATGGGTTCTGCTGCTCCCTGTCCCGGTTCTTGCCTTAGTGCTGCTCCCTGCAGTGTTCTCCCCACCGCCGGTGGCACCGGGGTCCGTGGGAGAGCGGCCTCTGTGTGTGTGCGGGAGGTGGAGAGGGGAGGGGGCCTGTGGCAATTCCCCCTCCTCCCCTCAGTGGCTGCGGTGCCTCCCGGAGGTCCCGACCCCCTCAGCGCTCATTCTGATCCCTCTTTCCCCCTAGGGAAGGCGAGCCGGTGGTTCGGGGTCGCACAGTCCAAGTCTGCCAAGACAAACGTGAATCTTCTGCACCAGGAGGAGTTGATAGCACAGAAAAAGAAGGAAATCGAGGCCAGGCTCGAGCAGCAGGCGAGGCAGAAGTGCCCGAGCATCCCTCTGCTCGGAGAGTACGTGGGGATTGCGGTGCTGGGAGCTTTGCTGGCATGAAAGGGGCGCCTTTGAGAGATGAAGCTGAAGAGGGAAGCTTTGCAAAGCTTTTGCACTTGGGGGTGAATACTGAGAGGTGAAACTGGGGATTGAGTAAAGGTTAGAATAGGGTACTTGTACCGTAGTTGATCTGAAAGGCAAGAATGGGTATGTGCTAACAGCAGTCATGGTTTTAATGGGATAATATTGCATTTTCCTTCTACTTCCTGTTTTTCTTTCTCTTTTACTTATTACCACAAAGAGTTGGTGCAGTTTCCAGTTACACGCTTCCCAGGGGCAAGTAGAAATCCTGTTTCATCACAGTAATAACTAAGTCAGGTGGAGAGTGCGCGTGAGTGCAGTAAGCAGCAAGCTGAACAGGTCTGTGCTTTTGGGAAGTTTGGTGTCTTGTCCACGTTAGATGAGGTCGGTGGTGGCTGGTGTTTCTGTTTGAGGGGGCTGGGGGGGATGATGAGCACCATCACCTGCTTTTCTTTTTCTACTCAGAGATGACGGTGCTGAGAACGAAGCCTCTGTTTCCAACAAGTTTGTTAACGATGGCAGTTTCCTCCAGCAGTTTCTCAAGCTGCAGAAGGAAAAGTCAAGTACTGGTAGGTTGACTCTGAGCAATAGGAGGCCTTCCTTCTCCTGATGATCCCAGCTTTGTGTGAGCTGCCTCCATGTCTGTTCACTTTAAAAACCCTGCTATGAGCTGCTACCAGTAGGAGTAAGTTCTAAAGCAGCCATGACCCCTTCAAATTTGGCTTACAGAGATGTGATAGGGAGGTTTGCCCACTCTCTGCCTGCTTTAAAGAAGCAGCACTGCTGGCATGACGCTCGCTGTGTGAAAAACCATCCCAGCTTTCATTTCATCCTGCAGCTTTTACCAATGTCTTTAACTTACTCTGAAAATAACAGCCTGTTGCAGCTCTGTCAGTGCCTGAGATGTTGTTTCTAACCTTAAAGGATGCACAGGAATTATTTTCCCCTCATTCTTTTCTAAGAAACTCCCCCGAGTTCTACTGAGAACTCGGCAACTGCTTCAGCAGCAAATGCTGGGAAGAAACCTGGGCTGTTTGGGAAGCGGGCCGGGCAGGTCCTGAGCAGCATGCTGCACCAAGCACGGAGCTCCTCCCAGCCCAGACAGAGCCCAGGCACTGCCCGCCACAGTGTCTTTCAGTCGCCAGATGAAGATGAGGAGGAAGATTATGAGCAGTGGCTGGAAATTAAAGGTAAATGACACCTTGTGCTCTGCCTTGGTTTGGGGTGCAGCTCGCCCTAGTGCTAGGGATGGAGTGTGAGGACAGCGTTTCTTCAGTGGAGGGTGGGTTTTCCTTATGTTGTGGGTTGGTATTCCCAGCACAGTTCCTCTGGGCCGACTTCTGCATCATGAGATGGAAATGGCAGCAGTTAGTGCAGAGGGGCTCCTCCGAAGCTTCAGCAGAGAAGCTGAGGGCTGGATGCTGGGAGGTATTCCTGATCCAGCCTGAGCCTGGGGTGGGAGAGGGATCATCTGCCATAGGCAGATTGGGTTTGTACCTAGGAAGATGGGTTTTCTCTGAATTACCAGGGCAAGTGCTTCACCACCTCTGTGACAATAACCTGTAGAGACAAAAGATGTTTTACTCCTGATGGAACTCGATTGTTTGCTTTATCATAAGGACTCTGCTTTGGTACAGCTGACATTCATTATGCCTGTTGCTGACCTCTCTAGGCAATACACGTAATGCTTGTCTTGAAAATGGAGCTTTAGCCTTTTTAATGATAGAAAATGAAGAGTTTGGGGGTGGTTGTGTAGAGGGGAAAGCTGTGTGTGTTAAGCAATAAGATGACATGGGAGGCACAGAACTGAAATCAGAGTTTCTGCCTCTTTCCAAATTTCCATTAGAAAATCTCCCCTTTAGGTTCTCCCTGCTTGAAGCAGGATAGAAAAGCACTGAGGAATCTTGCAGCATTTAAATAACCAACTTGATCTGGCTAACCCAGGCCAGGAAGCCCAGGGGCAGATTTGCTTAATAATCTGCATTTCATTTGTGTGTATTAATCAAGTATAAAATGAGATTGGAGTTGCTAAATAAGTCACACTGAGCTTTGTGTCATCATTTATTTCATTCTATGGTTACAAAACCATATCCAGCCTTCTCTGGTGGGATTTCTAAGAGCATCATCTTGGCAAGTGTGAACTTAAGCATGAAATGCACTGCAGGAACGTGGCTGCAGTGAATAAAGATGAATTATGGACCCTTAATTTAAAGGCTGGAGGTTCAAATCTAGTCCAGTGTGGACAGTTCTCCCACGTGCTGTTTGCTCAGTGTGCTCCCCAGTATATTGTTGTCTAGACAGGAGCCTGTGTTTAGTTCCCATCGGGTCTGTCCTGCATCGGGTCTGTCCTGCATCTGCTCTGTTGGTGCATTTTTGCCTTGGCACAGAAGCCAAAGTACAGTTTCTTGGAGACTGAGCTCTCCTCTCCAGTGGGATTCCCTCCAAGCAAGAGCTGAGACATGGGCATATGCCAGTAGGAAGAGCCACATGCTCCAGCTCCACAATCTGCCTCCCCTAGTTGGGTACAGAGCGATGTCTTGAGAACTGGAATCTGTACTGATGAGTAATGTGGTGGTTAAAGTCAAATCCCTGTTCCTCCCCATTGTGTTTTGTATGGAATAGAATTATCAGAAGCAAATGATGTTGTGGTTCAAATTGTACCCTCAGCTGTGGGCATCCCAATGTGAGGCTTAGGCAGACGTAACATGAACTTCCTGCTAAAGGAGGCTGACAGTAAGCTGGGGGTTGTAAGTTGTACAGCTCTGTAAGACTGGATCCCCCATTTCATCCTTTCTCTTCCCATTCCCGTTCTACTTTTGTCTGCCTCCGTGGTTCTTAGAAGTAATGTACCTGTTGCCTGTTTGGTGTGTGAGTTGAACCCCAGTACTGACAGCTGCTTAAAGTTTTACCCCCAGAGGATGCGGACACCCGGGCATTGGTGGAAAAGCTGGCTAGGTTCGTGGCTGAAGGGGGACCACGGTTAGAGAAGGTCGCTATGGAGAACTACAAGGATAAACCAGCCTTTTTGTAAGTGTGGTCATTGCAACTCTTATCTTCCAAAGCACAACCCTCTCTCAAAGTAGGAGGAAAAGAGCCTCATGGATAGAGTGACTCAGTTATAAGTAATCGGTTTATTTAGTAATTGCTGGGGAAACTGAGGCAGGAAGTGAGATGCTGAGGAAGCAGATCAGTGAGAGCCAGGATACAGCTAGAGGGGTCTGGCTGTGCCTGGTGAATGTCCAGTACATGGGATATGGCCTTGATCTCAGGCCTGCTTCTGTCTCCTCTGCCATTGTGTGGCTGGGGACAGAGAATTCCCTGCTTGATCAGAAGAAACTTCTGTGTTTCCCTTCAAATGACACACAGAATTTGGATTCAAGTCTTTAGATTAGAGCTGTGTGTATTTACACGTGCTGAAGATCTTGGGAGCCACATTTTCAGTGTGTTCTGAGTAACTGATTTGTATTTAATTGGATTTGGGCTGTTTATATCCCAGAGTATCAATATTTGTATAGTGGTTGCTGATGCAGGTATTTTGTTCTTTTTATCTCCATCTCCACGCCAGGTTTTTGCATAATAAGGACAGCAGAGAATTCCTTTACTACAGAAAGAAAGTGGCAGAGATAAGAAAAGAGAAACAAAACTTTCGTCCGCCCCCTCTTCCAAAAGGTAATTGAGTGGGATCTGGAGAGTGTGAATTGCACACGTTCAATTTGTCCTCTTCACTCTCTGTAACTGCTTGTTGGGGCTGTGCTAGAAACACTTGGAGTGGAGATTTGGCTGTCAGTTGAATTTCAAGAGATCAAACAGCACCATCAAAGTGGTGCCAAAACCGGTTGTTTCCCAAGCCCACAGCATCCTGTCCCATGCTCTGTGTAAAGGGCTCTTGGAAGAGATTTTCTTTCTACTTCTCAAAAATGCTTCAAAGGAACAAAAATGATTCTCCAGTGTGTGTGTTCTGGAAAGTTTCAGCCCTGAAAATGCAGTTAGGAAAAGTGGTTTATTTGAGATGTTCTTACTTGATTTGTTATAAATGGAAGTGGTTGGTCTGTTGGTTAGTTTGACCATAATCGCCACTTCTGCTGTTGTGTCCTTCTCTGAAACTTTTCTTTTCTGCCTGAGACATAAATTCTTGCACATAAGGGACTGTTTTCAGGTGGGAAAACAGCAGAAGTGGCTGAGCTGCCAACACACAGGTGTGTGAGCAGTGGGATCTGGTTAGCTGTGGTGAGACACAAACTATTGAGTGGGTGAAGTGTGCTCTGTGGGCC